TAGAAGCACATACATGTATATACTCGTATATAGTAGAAGGGGACAGCTTTGGTGGGTAAATATGTTTCATTGCATTTTAGCTTGGGTTTTCTATCTCTCTTTTTTTCCAAGTTTCGAAATTCTTGAAACGCATGGAGATATGGCAGGTTTGGTTTGTTCTGCTGTAGCTGCTGGCCTCCTTCTATGCCACACTGTTGTTGTGTTTGTTAGTGAATCGCCTTGAAGCCTCTCCGCTCCACAGTTGAGTTGTCAAACGTTCGGTGACTAAGTTAAGTACATACTAAGTAAGCACTGGTTTTATATGGAAATGCAGGAGATAAACAGGGGGAACTCCATATGATAGAACTAGGGAGAATAAGACTGTTTAGAAGTGAAACAGAAATTGAAAAGGATAGTAGTATTTGCTTCCTGGAAAGCTGAACCTGTAAACCCCCTGCGGAATCCGGCAGTGACTAGGAAAATTACTTGAACCCCTTTAGGGAATACCACACAAACTTGAACAGTGATAAGTTTAGTCATGTGGAAAGCTTCCTTGAACTAAGATTTATTTCAAATACATTTTTCTTTACGGGATAGTTAGAGGATTTTATAGCATAAGTAATTGGGTACCTTTGCTCAGAGATGATCTTTCTTAAGTCGATTAATACGGGTTGTTTCTTGAATTATAAAACAGATTGAACATTGATCTCTACCTTTCATCGATTAAAGTCTCACTGTACCCGTACCCCAACTATAATCCCACTCTGGGAGTCCCCACTGTACCTGTTTTATGCGAGTATGATATGATATACTCATGTGTCGCCAGTTGAGTGCTTATTTAGATTGTTGCTGCCAGATGTATCTGTTGTTTTCGCAGTTGTTTCCGAGCAGTTTTCTTGATGTTTTCCAATTGCTTGTCGCTCGATTCTGTGCGATTCCCTCTGCCCCGGCCCCACTCGCAGCCATTCATGCCCCCCCGACATTTATAATGAGGCGGAGCCGCAATCAAATGCTGAGTGGGCAGACGCATCTCATAGATAATTTATCTGTCATGCTGCTGTAACCGTTAAAGCGGTTATACTAAGTTGTTGTTGCAGTTCTAGTTACTGCTGTGCTGTTGTTGATGCAGTACTGGATCCGCGAGTATTCGTATCTTATGCGCAATAGCGTAGCAATAGATTCTTTCAGTTCCTGCCGGGCAATTAGCCGCAAAAGCCAAACCATATATCGCACGCTCTAAATTGTGGCCAGAGCCAAGAGAGAATTAGGTTCCGATTGTTGGCAACATTTTGGCCAGCCGCGGTGGCTAGATTTGTTGCCACATCCTCCAGCCAAGCCAGACCAGACCAGAACCAAGCGCAGCGCAGACCTGGCTAATTCCATTTCCAATTCCAATTCCGAAGTTTCCACATTTGGTGCCCACCGACTTCCACTCCGATCCGACCAGTTTCGATTACATTATCATTTCGTGTTTCGTTCCGTTTTGCGGCAATGAATGTTGCCCGCCACCGATCCGATCCGATGCGATCCGATCGGATCCAATCCGCTCCGCTCCGCTCCGAGCTGATTCCGAGTGGAGTGGAGTCGAGAGTGGAGCGTTCACTTTTATCCAGCACCGCGACGAACTTGCCACACCAACCGGGTGAGTGTCTATGTCGGCGATTGCGTTGTCTGTGGCTATTGTCGATGGCAATCACTGGGCAGACTACTCATGCACTCATGCAATTTTCCACGGCCTGTGCCTGTGCCTGTGCCAGTGCCTGTGCCTGTGCCTGTGTCTGGGTAAAAGTCAACAAGCGATCTGCCACTTTCAATTGCCAGCCAGTGATCCGAGACTGTTGGCGCTGGGGGGAGACTGGAGCCAGCGGGACGCGGGAGGCGGGATGTCTGGTCAAGTCATGTTGCAAGTGCAACTGCATTTTTCTGGCCATTTGCCGGCATTTGCAGGCACGGAGACATGCCACACACGCAATCCCAGACAGTGGCAGAGCGTACAATGCCTCTAAAGATGGATTTTGCAATCGATTGACAATAATAGGCCCGGCACGGCACAGTGGGGCGAATGAAACGAATAAATTGGGAGAAAATATACATTTTAGATGCAACAAAGGCACAAAGAGTCCACTGTTAAGATCTTAGAATTCTGCTGACCAAAACCCCATGCAGTATCCCTCCGACCTCTGCCAAAGAATGACCCGTTTCCATCAATCTTCCGGGGCCCACAGTGCCAGCGAAGCGTCTAAGCGTTGACGCTGGCTTTCAACGCTCCGGCTACAAGCAATGCTCTAACTTGGCCAACAGCAGTGGCAGCGAGAGGCACAGTTGTCCGCTTGGCCAACCGACAGTGTGCCCCAAGCTACGCAGCGGCAGCGGCAGCGGTTCGTTGGCTCAGTGACTTTGCCACGACTTGCAGTGCAGTGTTAATGGAAACTTGCAGCGCTTGGCTGACCAACGTAATATTTTGTAGGTCATCAGAAACTGCACACTCGGTGGCACACACCGACCAAAACAAGCAGGTTTTTTTTGGGTCTTGCAGCACCGAGAGGCGGCGCCGCAGAGGAGGAACTGTGGGAGGAGCTGCAGGCGACTCGTTAGACTGCCGCGAATCTGAAACATCATCAAATTTACGATCAATCAGTGATCAATAAAGGAAAGCTAAATATGGGTTGTATAACACTTACCAACACGGGGGGCTATTGGGGTCGCCAAAGGTCAATGGAAGCAGCCAGTGGCTTGTTGAACTTGGTCAAACAGAGACACGAGCCCCATTCATGGATATCTAATAACTACATAATACTAGTAGTAATTACAGCGAATCCGAAGCACTCACTCGGTCACTCATGTGCATATCTGAGTACTTTTTGATTGCCTTCGCTGGGTGCTCTCAAGGGTGCCACAATGATGCTGGTGTTGATTCGGCCCCGTCTCCGTCCCCCCAGTTATTAGCCGTTTTATTAGCCGCATTCAAAAGAGCTGTAAGTCAAGAGAATAAAAGTGTTACGGCCGCACACGGTCTAATTGGATGACGTTACAACTTCCGTAACGAGACAAGCTCTAAGCCGCCCTTTCAATGCCACGACAATGACCACAAAGAGCAGGACAGGGCAGGTGCCAAGTCGAATCAAGTATTTGCCGAGCTGAACCAGTGATTAGGTCTGGCCAGGCGAGGTTTCCCAGTAGTCAGGCGTAACAATAGTATGCACTAGAACTTTCCCAGGCGCTCCACGAAATATATATAATTACTTATAATCTATACTCTTTCCCTTCAGGCCCAGTTCGTGCTGTGCATCTTCCATACGTTACGCGCCCTCTTCAGCAACCAGTGCCAGTTCTCGAAGTTCATCTCGGCCCTCCTTCTGCTGAATGCCTCCATATTCTTCTGCCTCTTCATGAACTTCTACATGCAGAGCTACAAGAAGTCCAAGGCCCAGCAGGCGCTACAGCAGCAGCAGCAGCAGGAGAAGCTCACGGCAGCCCAGGAGGTGGCCTCGAAGGCAGACAGCAACAACAATAACCATATGGAGATGCTGACACAGAAGCTGAAGGCCCACTAGAATAGGAGAGGAAGTGCTTCCACGGATTGCTCGAAAAGGGAACAAAAATTTTTTGCATACTCGTAAACTGGACAAATTGGTGTTGGCAACAGATCAAACGTTGGAAGTAGTTTTGGTACAAAGGTTTTAACTTACGCTAAGCTTAAGCTTAAGAGCCATAAATGCACAGATAGACAGACGCACACGGATAGTTAGGAAGTCCAGCCAGACAGCCAAACAGCCAGAAGAAGAGCCACCTCTTTACGGGGCGTATGAGGAATTCAATTATTCTACCAGCCTCTCCTACGACTGCGCTAGCTTTGCTTTATTGCTTCGCTTGTCACGGACATCCGTCCGGTCATGCGTCCGCTGAAGAGAATGCCCCTCTGGTAAGCAGTCGTAACTGTATTCGTAATGTGAACTGTATAAGAAACTGGGTCAATTTTCGAGATCTGCCTAAGCTGTAAGTCACCTAATTCTAGAACCTCACGAACGTAGCGTAGTTTTTAATCGAACTCTGCGCTACCCCCGATAGTGCCTAAGTAAGTGTTAATTGTAATTGTGTATAGACGATTTGTAAATAGCCTGTTAAATGTTAAATATTTGTAGTCCGCTAAGCCCTCTAGCCTAAGCAAACTAGTCTAACTTACAACATGCGCGCAACTCAATACTGAGGAGCACGACAATAAAGCGAAGACAAATAAAAGCGAAGAAAAGATACATTTCAATAACGACCCGGTGTCTATTTTATTTGTTTTACTTCCCCATTGGACAGAGCCAACACTTGGCAGGGTCGTTCACGCGGAAGATATCAATTAATTTACGTGAAATCACAGTAAACCAACGAAATCTGAATTGGGAATGTGGAATGCACAGTTTATCCGATTAATGAATCAATATTCTGTGTGTTTTGAGTCGATTTTATAAGGGGTATTCTTCAAAAAAGTGTTTAACCAAAACATGTCTTCGAATTAGAATTTAAATCTACCCGTCGTTATCAGATTAGACTGAAAAAGGGTGGCCACTCTGTCAAAACAGTGTGACCGCCTTCGAATCTATAATTTTATTTTCAATGATATATTAATCTAGCCAGTCGATAGTATCGATAGGTGGGATGTTTAAAAACAATCCAATAACATAATGTCCTTAAAATTAGCATATCTTGTAGAAAATCGGAGAAAATGATTATGAAAACCGAATTTCAAAATCATAGACAGATAACGATTAACCCACTGTCCACCAGTACCAGTACACACACGTTATTATGCAACTTGAGACTTACAAGAAATAGTAACAAACAGTAACGGCTTAATTCAATTTGTTAACCTGTTTAAATAGAGCGGGTTAAATAGGCTAAGATTTTTCATTGGTATATTAACGGTATATTTTGAATATGAGACGGTATATTGCGGCATATTTCTAAGGGTCAGACGGGATATTTTATTGATAAATCCACTGGAAAATGTAGAAAAAATGTCCAATACTTACCAATTACGAACATTGTCAGCTTCCCAGCTTTGTTTAGGCGACTGAGCATTCTTCTACCGAGCGATTCTACGAACCTTGCGAAAATGGAATGCTTGGATACCCACGCTGGAGTCCTTGGATGGAGATGCGCTTGTTGCGTGCTGGTAAATGCAGGTCACTGAAGGAGCTGTCGCTGCAGAGGATCGCAGACTCCATTCGCTTGCCGCACAAAAAAAAAACACTGTTGTTTATTAGCAATTCAATTTTTAGCAATTTTTGAATTTGAGTATCGAGCTACAAAACAGCTGAGAATAACTTTTATCGATTTCAGATTTCAGTATTTCATTGCATGGGTGTGTGGCAATATACGGTCACACTGCTGAACACACATACGGGATCAAACAAAAAGAGTTTTTGAGTTTAATTTTTTACCAAAAAACTAGGAATTTCGTGACCCACTTTCGTTGCGCACACTTCACGTCACCACACTCAAAGCATGGAACAAATGGAGGTCGATGTGGACATGACGGCGAAGCCGAGCACCTCATCATCGGCGGCTGCAGCTGCCGCAGCCGCAACCGCAGCTGCCGCCGGCAGCAACATACCAGAGGCACAGCTGCAACAGCCCAAGGGGAACGTGATGGCTGCAGAGGGTACAACCGGCTCGGTGACAATCTCGCTCCACCCGCTGGTCATAATGAATATATCGGAGCACTGGACACGCTTCCGTGCTCAGCACGGAGAGCCGCGCCAGGTCTACGGGGCGCTGATTGGCAAACAAAAGGGACGCAACATTGAAATAATGAACTCGTTCGAACTCAAGACCGATGTGATTGGGGACGAGACGATAATCAACAAAGACTACTACAACAAAAAGGAGCAGCAGTACAAGCAGGTTGGTCCCCAATTGAATCTTTGCATTGGTCCGCCGCAATAATTGAGTCTTCCCATTTTCTGTACAGGTATTCAGCGACCTCGACTTCATTGGCTGGTATACGACGGGCGAGAATCCCACAGCGGATGACATCAAAATCCAGAAACAGATAGCCGCCATCAACGAGTGCCCCATCATGCTGCAATTGCACCCGCTGTCGCGCAGCGTGGATCAGTTGCCGCTGAAGCTCTACGAGTCGCTGATCGATCTGGTGGATGGGGAGGCCACCATGCTGTTTGTGCCGCTAACCTACACACTGGCCACCGAGGAGGCGGAGCGCATTGGCGTTGATCATGTGGCCCGAATGACCTCCAACGAGTCGGGCGAGAAGAGTGTGGTCGCCGAGCACCTGGTGGCTCAGGATAGTGCCATCAAAATGCTCAATACACGCATCAAAATCGTTCTGCAGTACATCAAAGATGTGGAGGCAGGCAAGCTGAAAGCTAACCAGGAGATACTGCGCGAAGCGTACGCACTGTGCCACCGCCTGCCAGTGATGCAGGTGCCCGCCTTTCAGGAGGAGTTCTACACGCAATGCAACGACGTGGGCCTCATCAGTTATCTGGGTACCCTTACCAAGGGCTGCAACGATATGCATCACTTTGTTAACAAATTCAACATGCTCTACGACCGCCAGGGATCATCGCGCCGCATGCGCGGACTATACTACTAAACGAAAGATGGTTTTTCAAATGCGATGTGAGGTAGGATGTACAATTAAAGCGTCAACATTATGTGTCCTTTGGGTTGTTTCGGTTGGGTTGGGTTGGTGTAATGGGTTAATGCAATTTTATTGTTTTTTTTTTGCTGACAATTGGCAAACTACAGATAAAGATGGAATTAAGCGGGCAGAGCCAAGTGGGTGAAACCACATACATATGTATATCACTTTCTTCTTATAATCCATGGAGAGATGCAGAGCTTCGAGCTTCTTAAATTCAATTCAATGTGTCGCCCATCGGGCGTATGCATATACAACATTTTCTAAACACTTATGTGCAGATGTAGATACATCATAATTTCATTTCATTTCAATGCAAAGTCGGTGGGAATTATTTAGTTAATGATTGTAATCATCGAGTTTGATGTTGGCTGCGTACTGCTGCAGGAATTCCACCTCCAGTGGGTGCATCTCCTTGGCGGGAATGATCAGCGAGTGCAACGGGCCGCCCAGGTCTGTGGAGCGCATTTCGAGCAGCGTAGTCACGGCAATCTGTTGCGTCTCTTGGCCAACACGTGCCAGGCCCACGCACAAGGATTGCTCATTGAGCACTGTGTTGCGCTCCAGCGCATCCTTCTTCTCCACGATATTGAGCAGCTGGTGGGCGGCCTCCGCCACACTCATGAAGCGCGGCGGCATATACTCCTTGCGTTTGCGCATTAGCGACTCTGGGGTGGGCTCCTTCACCTTGATATCCAGCAGGCACAGCGTGTGCATGTTGTGCAGGCGATTCAGTTTGACTTTGTCGTAAAAACTGTCTGGCTTCCAGGTCTCGTCCCAGTATGGTATGGACACAGTCTCTCCAAATTTGTACAATTGCAGCCCGCAGCAGCCGACGGCATTCATTATGGACGCATTGTGGATTACTTTGTAGGGTATGTTCTTCTCCTTGGCGCGCAAAATGAAGTCTGTGTGCGTGGTGGCGCCGAAGGGGTCGCCGACGACCAGGAGGGCCACATCTGTCTCGCCCGCTCCCGCCAGAATCTCATCGGCACCCTGCTCCACAAGGTCACGGTCTGCCAGCAGCAGCGGTCGACCGTAGAATTCTTGCTGCAACACACACAAAGCGGCAGGGAAAGGCAAAAAGTTAAGCGAAAATCGTAAAATCGGTATTCCTGCGACCACCTGCCCTGCCCCCAAGACTACTCACCATGTCCTCAAGGCTACAGCCCAAAATTGATGTATACATTTCGAGGTACACACGACTGCATTGCTTGACAATTTCGAGCCCTTTCACTGTGATATCCTTGATATCCCCAAGGCCGAGTCCGATTAGATAGAACATGCTGGGACTTGACTGGAGCTGGAGCTGTTACTTGCGTGCGTGCTACTGCCAATTCTGCGCTTAAAAATAATTTAAATGTTGTGGACCAGACCCCAACACGTGCCCGTCAGTGCCGCCCGCGAATTTGTCGAACTTAGCCCACTTAAGCCCCCTCTATTTGAACAGTTCAACGACTTGAAGTAATGGCGGAAAATATTACTAACTGTAAATTCTTCTGTTAGATCCATGCCATCTCTACTCTGAACTTAAACTTAAACGATATCTTTCAACTGAACTTCATTCAATTCGGTGGAATATTAAAATACCCCCTTGGTCTAAAATGGGTTAATCCTTCTCCGTCAAGGATTGGAAAGCATATTCATCGATTTTGATATTCCGTGGAATATTACTATGTAGATATGACTTACATACATAAACACATAATTTTTTCTGATTTATGAATAAATTTTCTACTTCACTAGCTCATTTTAAATAACCACTTTTATTGCATTCTGTATAAAGCTAGGTTTAAACAAAAAAGTTCTATGGAATGTTGGGAAGAAGGACATTGCTGCGTTGAAAAATCCCTTGACGAGAGAAAGAAAGTCCCAAAAAAAAGAAAGAAAATATCCCACCAAACGGCTACCGATACTATCGACTGTTGCGCGCCAAATATACATAGTTCGAAAGTGCTAATTTAATAGATTGATGAAATGGATCAAATACCTTCAACTCAATATCGATCACCCTGGTGCCAGTGATTCTGATGGCACTGAACAAAAACCAAAAAGGCATCGGGTGCGCCAGGCAGACAACAAAAAATGCCACCCAGTGTTCCAACAATGGCGGACTATTCAAATTAACTGTTCTTTGTATGTATATGTGTATACTGATACGCTCCCATGAGAACTTTATAAAAACATTTATTGCGGATGCATCTGCAGCTGGATTGGTACCCAGCCCCTTGGATATCCTCCATATGGAACGACAAATAAAAAATACACTTATGGTAATCTCTTAGCATTAGGGACCATTAGGGTTCACTGAAAGAGATCAAGAATTAAAATATATACGCTATATTCAGAATATCCTTACTGTATCCTTGCTGCACGTACAACGCAGAGGGCAATGAATCGCTCCAGCTGAAATCACCATTGAAAATAAACTTATTAACGTCCATTTAGTAAAATAATGCGCAATAAACTAACCGTCATGGCAAAGTCTGATTCGATGTCGGTTTTTTTACACAATACCTTGCACACGGTTAGGAAGTATGTGCGCATTACCGCTCCAAGATCACTTTCGAGAAACTCGTAACGATTAATCCACATATTTATGACGAGGAAAAACGAGCGCATCAGAATGAACATGTCATGGTATTGATCAGAGTTCGCCAGCTGCTGCCAGTTGACCAACTTTGCCATTTCGAATGCATTACGCGCCTGCAAATAGGAATAATATTCGTACAATGTTGCGTTGAATGCCTGGTACGCGGCTATTCACATTTCCAGTCACTTGCAGTCTTGCTGGGACCTTGGTGTATCTGCTCAAGATGGTCAGAAGCAGGGCCTGGCCAACGTCACTGCCAGATCCAGATGAGAGCATTAGACGGGGAAAGGCCGCCTGCATATTCAAGAAATTTTCCAAACGCTTGGCTCCCACGCCTTGCACAAACTTCTGATACAAGCCATTGGCAATAAATTCAATCTGAAGTGCAATCACAACACATATAATGCAGGAAGGCGAAGTGGATTTGCTGGATAACGTACCTGGTCTGGATAAAGAATAGATCCTAAATTGGAGACAGTATCTAATAGCGTGAAGCGTTTATCAATGACCATAAAATTGTCCTGTTCGTATGTCATCATCATTATGGCCAGAATATATAAATCAAGCATCTCTTCCAGATCAAAATCTGCCCAATCATATCTGGACAAAGTCGCCTGCAAATAGGTTAGCAGCTGCAAAAAATGCCTTTTGAGAACAATAAACTCAGGGGGAAATTTGTTTACCTTACCTGATTGCAATCTGATATTTGCAGTGCACGTGGAAAGTAATCCTTTATAGACGATTTGGCCAGGAATGTTTTCAAGTCCTCATGATCGTAGCTCTTTCGAATCTTATCCTCGTCTGATTCAATGGAAGAATCAAGTAATTCCGTCGGATTCATTGTAAAATTGTATAAAGCGCGCCTCCCCTTGTAAACAAAACAAACGGAGCAGAAGAAGAAGAAGAGAGGTAGGGCTGCATTTTTAAATATCGAAATTAGCAGCACTCATTTTCATACCCTAGGGAAAAGGATATGATAGAGTTGAGAAAATGTTTGTCATCTCAGGCTCCGTAGGTTACAAGATACTAAAACATATAAATTCTGCAATTTTCTTTATTAATTACGTTTTACAAACAGATCGGAATAGGGTATACAAAGGCCTATACACGCATCATGTCTTCAAATACCAGCAACATTGTGACTGCTTTTGTTTGTTAAACTATTTTGTTATTGCCTTGTTTCGGCCAAAATATAATAAAAAGCAACTAGCCAATCTTATGTGAGCAAAGCTGAGAGATCTAAATAGCTATTAATATTCGACGGAATATCAAAATCGGAATATGTAAAATATAACTTGAATTCGTCAGTATATTTGCGGTATATTTTGGTATTACGGTATTTATATTTCTGAGGGGGACACACTGCTCAGCTCCACGTGCGGCAGTTTCATTTTTTCGTTTATTTTAATTTAATTGCTAAAGAGAACTAAACATGGCGCCGGTGAAGAAGCCCAAGGCACAGCAGATAGCCAAACAGGCTTCGCCCACTAAAAAGCCAGAGGCGGTCAAAAGTGTGGTCTCCGGACAGGTAATGGGAACAACATTTCCAATGGCTGCCGCCTGCTAACTGTAAATGCTGCTCCATTTATTTTTAGATCAAGAAAAAATTGCCAAAGGCCAAGCCCGAGGACCAGAAGGAGCGCAAGGAGCGCGGCATCGTGTTCATCAAGCACTTGCCGCACGGATTCTTTGAGCAGCAATTGCGCCAGTATTTCAAGCAATTCGGTCGCGTGCTGCGTGTCCGGCTGGCCCGTTCGCCACGCTCTGGCAACAGCAAGGGATTTGCCTTCGTCGAGTTTGAGTATCCGGAGGTGGCCAAGGTGGCCGCCGATACCATGGACAACTATCTGATGTTCCAGAAAGTGGTCAAGGCGTCGTACATTCCGCCCGAAAACCAGAAATTCAACTACTTCAAGTCCTCCGTGAAGAGGGTACACAACAAGGTAAGGCTGTAAGGGGGATAGTGAAATGATAGGTCCTGTAATTATTTCAATGCTCTTCAGGCTGGCAAAGAAATCTACGTTTCGGAGATCACTAAGCGAACGCAGAACAGCGTAAAGAAGCAAAACAACTGGAACGAAGCTTCCTGCCAGAAGCGCACTGTTTCCAACCTTGGAAAAATCAAGAAGATACAAGAGAAGTACAATCATTTGGGAATTGATTTCTCGAGTCTTATCGTGGAGCCTATCAAGAAGTCCAAGGAATCGCCAGAAGCCAATGCACCATCGACAAGCGAGGCTGCCAAGTCCAGCAAGAAGCAGAAAAAAGCAAAGGAGGTTCGCATAGAAGACTTGCTGGGCACCACCATCGATGAAGACTCTGATGACGAGGACTATGTGGATGCCTCCGAAGATGAGTCTGATCTTGAGTTTGAGGACGAGGAGAGTGCGCAGGGCAGCGATGATACCGAGGATAGCGACGAGGAGCAGGATCTTCCACCGCCGCCGAAAAAGTCACAGAAGAAAAACCCTCCTGTGGCCCGGCTGGAAGATAAACTAAAGCGCAAACATGGCGCTGGTGGCGTGCAGAAGAAGAAGCCCGCTCCGGCACCCAAGGCCAATAAAAATGCCGTCACACAGAAGCTGCAGCTGGCCGCAGCCAAGACGCTGGCCAAGCCGCTGCAGAAGGTCAAGTCCAAGAAGTTGAAGAAATAGTCGTAAACTACATTTTACTCTAATTACTTAGTAAGCGAACATTTGTAAGAGAAGTTGTGTTAAAATATGTCCCTGTACAAACTAGCAGTGCGTTTTGGTGGCTCCTCCTTCCTCCAGCTTGATGCGTTTGCACTTCATGCGGCGATTCTGGAACCAGACCTTCACCTGCCGCTCCGTCAGCTCCAGCGCCACAGCGATTTCGTACCGTCTCAGGCGCGTCAGATAGTTTGAGTAGAGGAATTCGCTCTCCAGCTCCTTCAGCTGCGACTTGGTGAATGCTGTGCGCTCCTTGCGCTGCGAGGTGGTTTCTGTCCTGGCCTTCGGATTGGAGTCTCGGACGGGCTCGTCTTGCCTTGCCGGTGATCTCTGCTGTTCCTGCTGCGTGGCATCCAGCTCGTGGGCATCGTTGGACGACGACCAGGTGGCCTCCATTTCATGGTATCCCTGATTATACATCTGATCATAGCCATAGCTGTAGTCCGTATATCCTTGGGTCTGGCTGAGCCATGATTTGTTAATATCCACATAATAGCAGGTCTCGCAATCCATGGAGTTGGAGTTCTTCATGCACGATGCTGGTTCCTTTCGCGGCTAGAGTCTACGTAATACTGATCGCTCGGACCCAAGGGAGCAGCTTATTAAGGAAGTGCCCCTCGCTCTCTTTCTTCCGATCGCGGCTCAATCTGCTTTTTCACTTAACTGCAAATGATGTGCTGCTGATATGATAATTGTCCGCAACATCTGGACACACAAGACCGAACCCCGACCCCCTACTACCAATCGTCGCGTGCCCGATCTGCGTTCCCTTTCTTTTATAGTTTTGAGCGGTTATGACACCCACCATCTCCTCCCCTCCCCTATGTTGTCTTAGTCTATGGATCTCTTGTCAAAACAAATACGAAACGATCCAGAATCCGACTCCGGCCAGAAGCGGAAGTACTCGCTAGAGCATGATGCAGGACAGCGCATGTGTGCGGGTTGCATGAGTCAAGTGCTTTGTGCCCCTTGTGGGAGGGGGGCTATTAAATTTGAATATCTCCGACGGTCGTAAAACTGTGTCGGAGATTTATCTTAAAGTCGCGCAATTGCACGCGCTTTTAAGCTGATGCGGCAGATCGACTTCTGGCTACTGTCCGTAGTTCCACCCCCTGTCTGCAGAACCAAAGTGGAATTTGATGTCGTAATTTAAATGTTTATTAGGAGATACGAGTTGGTATCAATTCATATACATATGTATATGCGGGTGATCCGTTCGAATAAGCAAAACATAATTTAAATGTGTTTTTGAATAATTGCGCAAAGAAACTCCACTTATCTGGCAACTCTATACAAATGGTGTAAGTAAATAAATTTCTTACAAAATTATAGCAATATAGCATAATAATTATGGAATATTTCTATGCCTAGCAAAATATTTGCATCTTAGGGTATACAAATGTCCATACCACCGGTGGACATGCAACAAGTGTTCGACTAACGTCTTACTTCATGCTCACTTACGATTAAAGCTTTGACATTATTTTCTTAAACCTTATTTTAGGCACAGTCCAATAAAAGGGAGTACTTAAAGAAAGAATATATTGTAGAAAATAGATTTATTTATCTGCTTAAAATATATGGCCAGTGTTGAGGGTACCCAGGTAATTATTTTATTCGGTATATTTTTGAATTGAGACGGTATATTTCGGTATATTTCTGAGGGTCAGACCGTATATCCTATCGACAAGCCCGCGGTCACACTGGTGTTTTGTTTTTGATGCGTTGCGAAGCAACAATTTCTTTGATTTTAAAAGGTAAATAAATGCATGGATGTATAAAAATGTGCTCACCGTGCACATAGATGTTGAAGTAACAGACCCAAAGTTACAGCTGGTGCTTAAGTGATTGTTAAACGTGTGAATTTAGCGTTAAAAGTTTCAAGCCCAGCTTGGGGACGTCCACTGGGCGACACACCCAAAATAACAAATTAAGCAAACACGCCCTGCAGACCATCGCAATGTCCGAATGGTGTTGCTAAGTATTCAGTATTAATTTTCTCCTGTAGTTTTTTATAGACTGTAAACCGATTTCTACTTCTGCTGTGCGTGACGTCACTTGCAAGGCTTCAAGATGAATTACGGAAGGAAAACGCCCTCCACATATCGCTCCAATCCCTCGGTGTACTCCCATGCCACGGGAAGGTATGTATTTAACAGAGTATACTCTAATGATGGGTTTGACAAGCTGGCATTTTGTATATCCCTGTAGATCCTCGACAAATTTGCATTCCAAGATGTCGCGTTCGACGCGGTCTGTGCGGATTCCTTGGTACCAGCGGCCGCTGCTCAAAAACAATCAGTATATTGATATACAAAAGGGTGCCATGCTCATTGGCTTATTTGCCATTGTAAGACGATTGCAAGATCTTAAGCCCTACCCAAGTGTATAAATCTTCTCTTCCTTGCAGTTCCTTTCACTGTTTACCATTGCCTCGAGCGTCTTTGATATCTACTGCTATGCGATGGCCGCACCTGGGTCCACGCATTATGGGTACTATATCATATCGTATGAGTTTGTCTATGTGGGAAATAAGCATGGTATGGAATCATTAGGAACCTCATTTCAAGCATAAATAAATGTAAATTCCTTTTAGTGCGCAACATGTTGATTGTGTTTGCCCTGTTCTCCCTGATCATGGCACTGATTAACTTTGTGACCAGCGTGCTGCTGTGCGTGGCCCTCCGAAAGGTAAGTTGTGGGTTTGATGGTGGTAGTACCTTAAAGCATATGCATAGATTTCATTTACATTTCTCATTGCCCGAAAGCAAGAAAAACTGGGAGCACAGAAACGTTCACTGAGCAAACGGGTAACAAATGCATCCAGCACAACCATGAACAAAGAAATTTTGCACTTGTCCCCCAACCCCAAACTAATTGGCTGCATTTTATGCATTGTTTTTATAGTAATCACCATCTGATTTTTCTCTCTCCTCAGGAATACGAGCGGAAGGTGATGCCCTGGCTGTGGACCTTTGCCGTGTTCACGGTCTGGCGCGCCTTGGCGCTGATCTTCTTTGCCATTGTCAATGACTTGTACTTTGCCTACAATGTAATAATGGTGATGCTGTGGAGCATCTTCTGTTTGCTCTCGATATATGGCTGGGCCGTGGTCTATTCACTGTTCCTGGAACTGGTGGATCTCACCAAACTAGAGGATTTGGCTCATTTACGCGCAAGTTTCTTGCTTAATTAAACATTAAGCTAAGCATATATCTTATAATTATTCCTTTTTGCAGATGGGTACAATGGCGTCGCTGCATGCCTCTACAGCTAATTCCCTCGCTGGTTCACGTCCCACAACTCCTCATAGCACCGTATCCACAATGCCCGTTGGCTAGGAATCGTATTCTCTATATGAGATAGATCACAACGAAATTGCACAAACCAGACCGTCCAAAAGCTGCACCAGACTATCCCCGATGCGCTTTGTTTCCACCAACATTTAAATATTTAAACGATTGTACATTCCATCCACCAGTATAGTGCCTTAGAGATGCGTCTATCGAATACCACAAATTATTTACACGAATCTGCATAAATAGTTCTTAAGTTTTGTTCCGTCCAACCGATGCAAGATGCAATGTTTTTCTAATGCTTTTCTATATTGTTAAAGAATCTCTCTGCCTTTATGTATGACAACATATCATGTTTTTTATATACATATACTATGTACAACCCGAATAGTAGCTATATTTGTACCGAAAGTAGTACTTTCGACAAGCGACAAGCAATTATAAAACACAAAATACAAACCTAAATAAGTTTTCCTAATGATGGTCGTGCGGTGGATCATTTTCCGGGCGTTGACCATACGCCCACCCTTAAAAAGCATTACAAAATATTCTGTGATGATTCAGAAGCCACAGTGAAGCAAGGGCTAGCCAAAAGGGAATTTTAGCCCTATGAAAAATAACCGATCTGATGTAATTTTAAGAACCAATTGTAAAGGCTAGGAAATCCAATATTCGATTCTCTTTTGCAGGCACATGAAGATGATCTTACCGAGTTAATGATCACAGTTCACTTGGGAGATGATTATCAGGGCGTCTACCATACGCCCACCATTGAAAAGTAATTCATCTTAATTCATGATGATTCATTAGGACAGCACAAGGCACACTGGTTCAAGGCTACTTAAAAGTGAGCCGCTTTTTGAATGAAGACATTTATAAGGAATAATCAATCCAAGACGCAGCTCTGGAAGCGCTCTGGGTTTCCCTTTCAATCAACTTGCACAAGCATCAGGGAGCTATGACATTGTATTGTACTTCCAAAGAACAATCTTTGAAACACATTTGCGGCTGGACTTTCCATGAGAGTGTGCAATGTGCGAAGAAAAGGCATTTACTGGTCATTAACACCCGAAAATATATTATGAGCCCCACACACACGGCAAAGTGGGGCAGTTCAAGAGCACACAGGCGACACAGGCACAGACACAGACACGGGCATGAGCAAACGCGATGGGACTTGTAGATGTGTGGATGCGTGTCGTGTGTGTGGAGGCCAAACAAAGTTCAATCAACTGTTTTTGTTAATCATGACGACGACGACTTTTGCGATAGAGGGTGGTGATGGTGCATCGGTTAGCTGGAGTTTCCTCCCTCCTTAACCCGACGACTGCAGTACTTTCACGGCCTGCTGCTAATGATGGCGCATTCAGGTTTCACTCCATCATCAGCAGGGGGGTGAGGGCATCCATCCCATTGGGTTAATTTAAACAATTGCAATTGGAATTCAGCTGGAATACAAACTACGTCATAATCTAGCAACTCTGGATGGAGAGAGTCTTTGTGCCTGTCTCTGTCTCGGTTGTAGAACGCAATTTGTTGCTTGCGCCATTGACTTATCAACTTCAGGCATCAGGAAGAAGCAACCAACCCCCCTCCTGCAAGCCAGGCAAACAAAAGCTAGGGGGTGATGGTTTGCTACGCATTAAAGTTCGACAAATTGCGTTGTCTTCAAGTCCTTAGGTCAGTCTCGCACTCTCACTGCATATTCTCTCTCGCTCTGTCACTCACACAGCTGTTGATCACACCGCAAACGGTAAATGTGCTTGTCGTGCACCTGTCTTCCCGTTCCTTTCCTTTCCCCCAGGTTGAATGCACCAAAGCAAAATGGGATAAACCAAAGTGTATTAATGTAGGGTGGGGAATTTTCAGAGAGCGCTCTCCGTGATAAATGATATTGGGAACCTTCGCCACTAAATATAAATAGAGTTAGAGTTGCAAAATTATGTACATATGTATGTATGTGTGGAAATGCTTCACCCTATCCTATATAAACATACCTTGAGATAAACATAAATTTTTGGCGAGATGGAGTGAGTGCGTGCCAAAAATACACAAAACTTTAGTCTGTTCCTCTTCCCCCTTGCTAGATTTGCTTCCACATGCTCAATTTATGGTCCTTTTCCCCATATGGCTGTACAATGCACTCGCTCTCACACTCAACCTTGTAGCAAACTTACATACATATATGTAAATAGATATGTAAACATTTTCCCTCTCTAGCTGTAGCTCCCTCTGTTCCATTGGCTTTACATTGTTCATTTTGTAAGACGCACCATGTTATCAATCAGCTCTTGTACGCATTGTTTTGGCCACCTTTGTCTTTTGCACTGCGTCATTTCCAACGGGGCACTATGCAACGGTTCCCTCTGCATCAGCCTCTCTCCGCTACTGATTGTTGAGGCTATTCACCACGCCATGTTATGCCACCCCCACACAGAGGGAGCAGTGCAGTGCACTGCAGTGCAAGGTGCCTTTGTATTGAGTGTGAATTTATTCTCCGTTTGAGTTGCCTATTTTTGTGCCCCTCTTTTATTCTATCTATGTACGCGCAGTGGAAGCAAAATAGACAACTGTCATGGGAGCATTCTCTGGAGTCGCACCTTGTCTCAATACACCTTGATTGGCATGTCTTTTGCCCAACTTTTTCTGTTATCTCTGGCTGCAGGGCAATACGTTTGTATGTATGTATTTTCCCACCTCAACCATCAACGCTGACTGCGACGCTGACTGCGCAATTGTTGCTATTTACTAAAAACAGGAAATAATTTTCGTTTTCTATAGAAAACACTGCCAGCGCAGTTGCTGCCGACGTTGCCTTCGCTGGCGTCGCTGTTGCGTGTCTGATATTTTATTTTTAACGCTCTGCGACTTTAAATTTTTTGTTCCTCTTTTTTACGTCTCGCATAATTTTCGTAGCTCTTTCATAGCCTTGCCGGAGCCCCCGCACTGGGCTTCCACGGAGTTCGTTAGCTTTAGCGCTCTTATATGGCTGGAATTTCAATTTGTTATTATTTTTATCAACAAAAAAGTCGTCGGCCACAAGGTTAGTGCAGAACGCATGTCGTAAGACCAGAAACGGCCTTTGATAGCCCTCGAAGTGCTATTGAGTAAACTGGATTCGGTCTACAGATCATACATAGATAATTCTGTAGGAACAATCAAACATGATCACATTGGATCCTATGACCTCTAATTAAACGAATTTTAGCCTCACATTGCCTTTGCATTTATTGTGCGAGTGATCAGAAAGAGACAAAGAACAAGTCGATATTCGGGATGCCCTACCCCACCAATCACTGAAAGCATTCCAGTTGGGAAGCCATTTGTCATCAATGGAATACTTGGAATAAATTTTCAGAAATATATGTACAATTTAAATTCTACCTAACAATCAGGTGTATACCCTTATCTGCACACTGGAATTCAAAATTAATATACTCCTCTGTAGGGTGTACACAAAACGAATTGCAGGCCAACGAAAATGTTAACCTGCTAAACTCACCACAGCCCACCGCAGCAGAGAAACGGAGACAACAGCAATTTCACAATTTGACTCTGTTATTTCAATTGTAAGGAAAATCAAAACAATTAACATGCAATTGGCTGTTCCTGTTAATGCTGAATGGTTACAACATAAGTACACCCCTATAGCGAACGCATAGAGGTTAACATTAGTAACATTTCTTTTTCAACAAAGTGCGCAGTTTGCACTGATGACGCAGCAACAAACACAATGACAATGTCGTCGACAACAACAGTTGCTTCCAATTGCTCACTGCTCTCGCATACTCTCTTTCCGTCTCTGCTCCCTCTCTGTCACTGTTAATTTCTTGCTCTCGCAGCTAGCGAACAATATGGCGTCTTTGAAATTGTGTCGTCGCCCAATTTAAAATTTTTATAAAAACCTCAAATGCCAGTAAGGCATACATGTGTACTACACATATTTGGAGAAAATGCACATCAAGCAAAATTGACTATGATTTTTCCATTTATTGAGCCCGCAGGGAGAATCATATGACAGGCTGATGTAAACTTTGCCCTCCTCTTTCGTTCTCTTCGCTGCATGGGTCTTTTGTGTCTGCTGCTCTTATTGTGCGCTCTATTCTGCTCTTCTGTGCACTTTGCACTCATTTTGTTGGTTATTGTTCAAGTTTTTTTTTTTTAAATTTAAATACGCATTTTCAACTAGTCGCTCTCACTTAATTTATAGCTATTTTATCACTTATTTCCTACTCTGAATTTTTCACCACACCCTCTGTTAAGTGTTGGCTCTCTCAGCACTGCTCTCTGATACGCGATTTCTTTTTAACTCTGCACCCTGCACACATCCGCTGCTGGCGTATGCGTTCCCACCACCGTCTGACCAACGGCTGAGTGGCTAACAGCAGTCGTCGTGGCTGGTTTCTGGGCTCGCTCTCTATTCACCGCTGTGTGCGTTTCGAGGGCCAGAAGCATGAAAGTAGAAACTGGGCAGCATTTCAATTCGAGCCCCCGTTTGGAGCGTTTCGAGCGTTTGGAGGATCAGATCCACGTTGCGTTTTGGCTTCAGCTACCAACAACTGTTAGGAAATTACACACGCGCTGTCTCTCTCGCTCGCTCACTCGTTCGCTGGCCTAGCTCTGTGTGTGTGTTAATAATTTTAAATAATATTACGATTTTTCTGCGACCAAAGGTGCCGAGCCACCAGCAGGACGCTTCAGCGTCGTCGTCACCGTGTGCGTTGTGACCAAGAAAACGGAAAATTTTTAAATTGTTCTACAAATACATATTGAGAAAAGATATATAACTACAACTGCAACTGCGTCGTGCATAATCTTGTGATATATTATTTGCCCCTCCTTCTGCAAAACAACGATCCCTGTGCAATTCTCCGCAACAAAAAATTAATCATAATTAATAATAGTTCTGCAAAAGCAAGCAGATAGAAGCCACATAAAAAATTGAATAGAATACAACTGTGATTTAAACAAAACTCTGAGTTTTTGTTTTTCAAATTTGTGCAAATACCACAAAAGTCGAAATATTAAAAAAAAGTAAGTGCTGCAGCGAAGAAAAAGAAAATTTATTATTTCATTTTGTCTCTGTAAAAATGCTTATTCACCACCATTAACAGCTAAAAAATTTCAACATGAATGTTCTCTGCTCACCACGGCAGACGTTATACACACATGCACACACACAATGGCAGACATACGTCACTCTGTTGGGTGTGTGTGTTTGTGTATGGGACAGGCGAGCGTTGCCATGTCGCGCGAAACACAAAAAAAAGTGGAAACAAAAAATAAATAGCAGTTGGACAGAAAAGCAAATAAAAGCAAAAGGCAAAACTGATGCCAGAGAGAGGAAAAGGATTAGCGTTGAAAGGCAGTCGAATGAGAGATACCCTAGACAATCAATGAAGAATGAAAGAAAATCAGAAAAGAAATAATGAAGTGATAATTAACGGGATTAAATTTGGTAAAAAATTTTGTGTAAATTGTTAGAAATACTTTGTTGGGTAGACCGTATTCACATCACACATACACCATCCTCAGGCGAACCTTCACATTTCGTTGGCACCTTTGTTCTCTTCTTTTTGTGCAGTGTATTTTGACAAATTTTCTGGCTGCACTGCCAACAAAATATTACGACTTGCCAAAAAACTAAAAACCCAGCAGAGGACGTGGCTGATAAGTCGACCACAAATGACTGATAGCTCAAGTACACACGCACACAAAGAGGGAATAGGAGATAGTGTATAATTTAAATAACATTTTCCGCATTATCGCGCTGCTTGAAAATTGCTTTATCCGCACTCGCACACGCTTCGCTCTATCTCTCTCTCTCTCTCTCTGTCACTCCTTCTGTGTGTGCGCTCTGCACTCTCTTTGGTTTTGCCTGCAGTGCGTGACTGGAACTTTTTGTGCATGACTCATCATGCTAAAGTCGCGCCTAATCATAGACCAGAACAAAACACATATCTTCTGTATAGTCATATATGGTCGCAGCAAGTCCCACAATATGCCAGCAGATTATTTGCATTATTTATCTTCAGATTCTAATCAGCTGCTGCCTGTGCATAGGGGTGCATTGTGGCAACCCTAGGTACTGCTTGGATAAGGGCAGATAGTTGACAGCCCTGGCAGACAATCAGCTGATTTGTTTGCTTTTTGTTTTGTCATGCTCTCTGTCTCGGTGAGTCATTGTTTTTGGCATTTGCTGTTTGTTTTTCTATTTTATTTTTTGCATTTTGATCAAACTCTCGCTCACCTTGTAACACTTGTAAGAGGTTTCACTGTGTTTGCAGTTGCTTTTACATCCCACACGTGTCGCCTAATTATCGGAAACAATATGTGTTATCTCCAGTGGGGCACGTTTTTTGCTCTACATAGAATACATTTTTACACGTCCTATTTAATCATAAATTTATTATATGTAGGTGTTTCTATATTTTAAACCCTTAAGCTAGAGTAGAGTTTTAGAGCCAAACTTCTTGAAGTTTCTATGATTTGTTTCGTCATTTCTTGTTGAAATTTTGTTTTTATGAACAGTAGACCGCGATAGGGCGCCCAAAGACACAGATAAGAGTAAGAGGAAAGAGAGGGAAACGGAGCGCTAATTGTTTTTGATTGTATAGACAAACAAACATGTTTTTCGCTCAATTCCTGCTAGTGAATCAGAAATCCAAACAGCTGAAATCGTAATATGATAATGGATAACACTTGTGTGGGTGTCTGGATGCATGTGTGTGTGTGTGCTGTTTCAAATTCCAAGGCAAGGCTGGTATATAGATTTTCCTAACCTCTGCACTCCTCCCCTGCATGATTCAGGGAGAGAAATATTTAGTTTCGAGAACCTTCTTTCCCCGTTCGACTGCGACTAATTCTTGAGTAAATAATTCTATAGAAATAAACATATATTTGTTTGAAATTCTTGGCAAAAAGTTGGATAAACAACACGTGTCGCCTTTCTTTCTGAATTCTCTATTTCTTTTAAATTATTGTATATTTTAATGTGCAAATTTAAACAAATTTTTCGCACTAAAAATGAATAATATAATATAATAAAAACAAACAAATCGCCGTCAATCGTCTCACGTACACGTCGCAATTTATTCACATTTGTTTCCGCTTTATTTGTGTTACGCATATAATTTCATTTATGTTTATCATAATTTCTATTGTCTCGGCCAGACCAAATTTTGTATACCCTTGCGAAGAGAAGATGGTATAATGGGTTGAATACTCCTTTTCAAGAAGGGTATATTCGTCCAATGATTTTCTGTAAATAATATCCCATAGGCGAACGGACACGAACAAACATTTGCCGCGAGGATCGTGATATCGCACGAGCATAGGGAAGGGAATACAATCTTCGTTCCTGCGAAATTGAGTTTTCATTCACTCTTTTTATATAAACAACTGAAAACTGATAAGCGGACGCCGTCTGGTGTTCGACGCGTGTATGCCCGCGGCCCCATTTTTTCCCATGTTGTTTTTGTTGTTGTTACGTCTGTTTTTTATAGGTCGCGTGTAAACGAACGCACGCCCTCCCAGAAGCTCCCTTCCTCCCGCCCCACAATCCCCACTTTTCTTCCCACCTCCCCCCCCCCCCCCACACACACACACACACACACACACACGATCGGATTCGATTGAGCTTCGGGTTCGTTTCGTTCTGTCATTTCGATTCGTTCAGTTCAGTTCAGTTGTTTCTCTTCGTTGATTCTTTCTTTCGCGCAGTTTTGTCGTCGAGTTTCGTTGTTGTTTTCAAATTGTTTTTGTGTTGAGATCTATTTATACCACTCTAATCCCCTTTACTTGATCTTCTTTTTGCTTTGTTTTTCTCTTTTTTTTTTATAAGTTATGCAATTTTGTTTGTTGTATGTAGTATTCCCTTCATTCATGAGACAGACTGTACCTCCGATTGTGAGCCAGATAGAGAGAGATGAGGCTCCCATTGAAGAAATCGTTTGCGTATGCACATATTTCCAATAGAGAGATCCCACATGTAAATGGTCTTCTGCATAAATTGGATCATTGATTGGGGGATTCATCAATCAATTTCCGATGAATATTTCATCGTTAGAGGAGAACAGATTCCACCCATAATATCCATAAATCCATATGTACGAGTATTTTGTGGCCAAAAATATACTATAGGAAACATTTTTCCCGGAAAATCTTTTTGGTTTCTTTTTCTCGTATAAACCAAAAAATAAGAAGAAATTTAGGTCAAATAATACGAGAGTTTGCTCTATAAATACTTTTATATTTAGCAGAGGGAAACTAAATCGTGGGGAAATCCTTGGGGAAAACCTTGGATGTTTTATGAGGCGAAGATCTAATTTACGAGCAAGTGCGCAAACATTTAAAATGTTCAAACATTTAATGCAATTTTAATTTCCGGACAAATGAGCAAAGCACAAAAAATAGCAATAAAAGCTGGCCACAAAAAGAGAGGAGCCAAAGGGAAGGGTAGCATGAGGAGGAGGGGGCAAATCCCAATCGACTGGCGGCGGCTCACCTTGCACCCGACCGAGAGCCACAAACAATTTTCTTTCAAACATCGATTTTCTCATCCATCCTAACCTTTCTTTTCCCTGGCTACCCTTCCCCTCCACCATGTATTGTTATATCTATCTCTTTATTGTGGTTCTCTTTTCAATTTTCTCCAATTTGCTGTACAGGTTTTTCCTTCTGCTCTTTTTGTTTGTTTGTGGGAATCGATTTAGGCGCTCGATTGACTCTCCGCCGCCAGCTCTGCCCGCCACCCACAACCCACCCACGAAATTAAAGTTGTGCGCCCAAAAGGAAAAGTTGAGGCGGCGCTTTTCTCTTGCAATTTAAATCCGTGCCGTGGCTTCGTTCGTTCGTTCGGGTTCGGTGTTGTTTCCTTTGCTTTTTTATCCAACACAAAAGCAGACGCCTCTGTGACGCGCATATTCACCACATCTGGCAACCATGGCAACCACCGTTAGCTGTCGGAGCCATACCATACCATACCATACCACCGTTAGCCAGACAAAATGAAAAGCGAAACTTTTGTGGCCCTGCCTTTGTGTGCTGCTGTCGTTGCTTCCTTGAGTGGAGCGGAGAGGAAAGGAAAGGAGCGAAGTGGAGCTGCTGCCTCGCCCTGTTCGCGACGGCTTCTTTGTCTTGGTCTTGGTCTTGCTCTTGGTCTCACAGTTCATTGCCTTTGGAAAAAGAAGAGAGCATCAGCAGCAGCAGCAGCAGCGCAGCAGCCGAAGCAGAAGAAGCAACAGAAATCAGTAAATGCATAAATCAATAAAAATCAAGTTTAATGTAAATGGTGCTGCTGCCACCGCCCCAAACATCATCATCATCATCGTCCAAACAGAGGAGCAGCGTCATCATCTCTCTCCCAGCTCAATGTCTCGTGACTCAGCTGCCGCCTTCGTACGTACTCCCAGGGTATTGACGGGGTTTGCTCACTCTCCGGCAAGGTTCAACCGCCCGCCCAATGGCCAACGGCAAAGTTCAATAGCACAAAATGGCAGTTCAGAAAAGTTTCTAGCTTAAATCCATCCATCCAGCCATCCAGCCATCTAGCCATCCACGGACTCAAGGCTTCCGCATCTGTCATTGCTTTGTTTTCGTCGTCTTTATTCGCAATTTTCTGACGAGCGAGCGAGCGAATGAATGTCAGTCATTGAAATTACCAGATCCGAGGCGCTTTTCAAAGCTCAAATGACTATACGAAGGGTGGGATACCCTTGAAAGAGTTATATGAATTGGAAATCCAGCTGGAAAAGGAGGATCTTAGAGATATATGTATAAAACTGTATAGAGTATTCAAATGTTTGCTGCCAATCTGTTGACTTAAACTATAATACCCTACCCTCTGAAAGGGTATACAAATAGTCTTTGAACGGCCTTCAGTTCCCATAAAACCGATCGTTGAGGCGTCTCTTTTTAGTCTCTCTTAGCAAGAGGGAGACACATACAGCTACTTAGTGTGTGGGAGAGGGGAGTAGAGAAACTGCAGACAGTCGGAGCCGAAGCACTTTTTCTTTGTCTCTCCGGACAGAGGT